TTTTTTGTAATTGTTGGAAGGACATTAAAGAGTCATCCTGGAACAAGTCAGATAGAATGCAAATTCCATTTATGTGCCATGTTTTGAAGAGAGGTGAATCTATGCCATGGACAAAGTCCTGATTCAAATAAATTGGTTTTAACATAAATATAGCTTCCCCCCTCCATAAAAACCTGGAAATCTGTCGCCAAACTTTAATAGAGCTGTAAAGTATTGTACCGTCTCTTTATACTTGTGGGGACACGCAAACAAACTCCAGACAGATAGTGGGGAGCAGGCCCAGGAATCCACACTAGGGCATAGGTCATAGTAAGATCTGAACCATTCCCAAATTAGTCATAAAATATAATGTAATATAAGATATTAGGCAGAGCTAATCCACCCAGCTCTGTTGGCATCTGCAGAGATTTAATCTTTTGTCTAGGTTTTTTGCCATTCCATATAAATCTAGAAAAAGCACTTTCAAGCTGGGCAGAGGCTTTCTTGCTTAACCATAAGGGTGTCATTTGAAGAGGGTATAACAGTCTGGGGAGAATATTCATCTCTATTAAGCTTATTCTACCAAAGAGTGAAAGGGGAAGGGCTTGCCAGCGGTTTAAGTCTTTTTTGACCACCGTTTGAACAATTGTGGCATAATTGAATTTCCATAGTTGATTTAAGTCAGTTGACACTTTAATTCTGAGATAGTCAAATCCAGATTTTGACCATTTAAAAGGAAAATTTACTGTAGATTCAGTATCGAAATTACCTTATGGCAATGCTTCTGATTTATTAAAGTTAATTTTGTAGCCAGAAATTAAACTAAATTCTTTAAATAATGATAGTGTTGTTGGTATAGATGTTTCAGGTGATGATAAAAACAGCAGAATATCATCTGCATAAAGTGCAATTTTGTGTTCACAACTCTTTATTGATATATGATATACCCTTTATATTTTCATTCTGTCTGATAGCTTCTGCTAGAGGTTCCAGAGCCAATGCAAACAGAAGAGGGCTCAGTGGGCAGCCCTGCCTGGTGCCCCTAGCAAGTGGAAAAGGATCTGACCGTAGACCATTAGTAATAATGCAAGACATGGGGGAGTGATAGATCGTTTGAATCCATTTTAGAAATTCTCCCTTTATACCGAATCTATGCAGAGTTTCAAACAAGTAACTCCACTCAACCATATCAAAAGCTTTCTCTGCATCTAAAGATACAGAGATTGCTTTATAGTTTTGTTGATTGGTGTACTGTATAACATTTATAAGTCTCCTTATATTTGTGATAGAGAAGCGCTTATGTATAAAGCCTGTCTGGTCTGGGTTTATAAGGTGGGGGAGAACTACCTCGAGTCTCCTGGCCAGCAGCTTAGAAAGTATCTTGGCATCGACACCAATTAATTTTAAGAATTAAATAAATATTTGCTAAATTTAAAGTGGGTGGGAGGTGACCAATTTTAAATGAATTTAAAACATTTCGGTAAGTATTCCTACTATTTCTTTACCCATTTTTTTTATAGAATTCTGGGCAGAAACCATCTGGCCCAGGGGCCTTCCCTCCTTTTAACAAATTTTTAGAATGGAGAACCTCCTCTTCTGTAGCAGGCCTACAAAGATCCACTTGCTCTTCTGCTGTGAGAGAGGGGAGTCTAATGTCATTAAGGAAATCGTTTGTCCTTTGCTCTGTTGATTGACATTCTGATAAGGAAAGATTTTGATAATATTCTTTCATAATTTTGTTTATGCATTTGTTCTCAAATCCCAGAGGTGTCTTTTAAGGATGAAATTACATTAGTTTCCTTCCCCTAGCTAGACGAGCAAAAAAGACGACCAGGTTTATTACCTGACTCATAGAGTCTATGTCTGGCAAAGAAAAGAGATGTTTCAACCTTCTTAGTTAACAGCTGATTTAGAGCAGAGCGGGCTGCATTAAGTTGTTGGGACAGGCCTCTGGAAGGTGACAATTTAAAATCTCTTTCCAGAATCTGAATTTTCCTTTCAAGTTCCGCTATATTTTGCATTGCTGCTTTCTTTTTGGCTGAGGTTTAAGATATAATTGCACCTCTTAAGTATGCTTTCGCTGTCTCCCATAAAACTGACAAATTGATTTCAGGAGTTTTGTTAATTTCTATAAAGGTTTTCCACTGCTGTTTGAGAAATTGTGTAAATTCCGGACAGCTCAGTAATGAAGGATTAAGCCGCCACTGTCTACTATATGGATCTTTATAAGGTGGACAAACAATCATTGCGATAGGGGAGTGGTCAGATAAAGTTCTAATCCCAATAGAACAGTCCTTTGTTCTGTCCAATAACCCCTGCGATGTTAAAAATAAATCAATACGTGAGAAAGATTGATAAGGCTGAGAGTAGAAAGTATAATCTTTCTCCTTCATATGTGAAAATCTCCAAACGTCAAACAGTTCCAGATCCTTGCAAAATTCTAAAAGCCTAACACTTTTCTTTAGTCTGATATCTCTTGGGGGGGATTTATCTATGGATGGGTTAAGAACGCAATTGAAATCCCCTCCCAAGAGTGTTAGAGAACATGAAAAAGAGGAGATGTCAGCCAGTAATTTAGAAAAAAATTGAGGCTCATATATTGTAGGAGCATAAATACAACCAATCAACACATGTTCCCCATACAGAAAACCTGAAAGAAGTACGTATCGACCTTCATCATCTGTTACTGATTTTTCAAATTTAAAGGAAATATTTTTATGAAGAAGAATGGCAACTCCTCTACTATTAGATTTATAAGAGGAAAAGAAAACTTGGCCAACCCAATTTCTGTGCAGTTTCATAAGCTCTATATCAGACAGAAGGTTTCTTGTAGCAGGGCAATCTGACATTTCTCTTTTCGGAAAAAAAGAGATAAGTTTTTGCCTTTTAAAAACGTGATTAATGCCTTTTACATTAAGGCTAATCAGTTTTATATCACTCATAAACAAATGTTAATAACATATCAAAACAGGCATAATAAAGAGAAAGTCCTAATGTGAAATGGTTTTGGGTTGTCAAAGCAACACAGAGAACGGTCAATATGATGAACAATAAAAAACACAGAAAAACAAAAACAAACCACCCCACCCTTTTATCAAAATCAAATACAAACATGGTTAGATAAATCCCTCCCACCCACACGACTAACCTTAAATGCAAATGTACGGAGAACGTGAAAAAAGGTAGCCACATCACATCGAAGAATGGAGAATAACTCTATCAAACCTCCCCACTCCCATCGTGCAAATTCTTGCATAACAATAACTTTAACTAAGCAGCCATAATGCATGACCCATTTAAAGTGCAACAGTACTTCAAGTACATAACTAAATAAGAATAAAACTAAAGCAACATGCGTGCGTGTGTGTGTCTGCGCACGCGCACATGCATACACAGACATGCATTCAGACTGACACACAGTCACCCACCCACTCACTCACACACCCACTCTCTCTCTCTCACACACAGACACACACACACACACACACTACCGTTAAATGTAGATCACATCAACCCAACGCGAGTAAAAAAATGTTGGTGAAAAAGTATTTTACTGAGGCGCGAGAGTCTTTAACATCCGTCTTTTTGCGTGTTTATCCCGTGTAAACAAATGGAACACTGTGCTCCTCTCGGCCATTCATAAAAATTGTTCGCTAGTCCAGTCCATTGAGAAACGCCTTTGCATCTTGTGCGCAGTGGAAAGAATAGTCTGATCCATTAATGTTGAAATAAAGATTAGCAGGGTAGCGCATAACAAAACGAACTCCTCTTTGGATGAGCTGACCACAGACATCGTTGTATGCCCGTCTCGCCTCTCTGACCTTAACTGACAGGTACTGCGTAATGAAAATGTCGCTGCCATCATAAACGAGACGAGAGGCTAAAATTCTGATCATAAAACGAATGATTTTAATTCAGAGTTTATTTAATTAATGTAATAAAATAAAATTCCAAATATTTAAATCAAAATAAGGAAAACTCAAATAGGTGACGCGGTGCTGCAGTGGGTAGCATGATCGCCTCACTGCAAAAAGGGCACTGTTTCGAGCCTCGGTTGGGTCAGTTGGCATTTCTGTGTGGAGTTTGCATGTTCTTCCTGCGTTCACGTTGGTTTCCTCCGGGTGCTTCGGTTTCCCCCACAAGTACAAAGACATGCGCTATAGGTGAATTGGGTATGCGTCTGCTAAAACTGATCATAGTATATGTGTGTGATTATGTGTGTATGCATGTTTCCCAGTGATATGTTGGAAGGGCATCTGCTGCGTAAAACATGCTGGTTAAGTTGGCGGTTCATTCGGCTGTGGCGACCCCGGATTAATAAAGGGACTAAGCCAAAAAGAAAAGGAATGAATGAAAGCTTAAATAAAACCTAACATAAACATGACAATATACATATATAAAAAATATTTAAAAATTGTAAATAATAATAATAAAAAATTATATATATATATATATATATATATATATATATATATATATATATATATATATATATATATATATATATATATATAAAATGAATATAAAATATTAACCTATAGCATATACTTTTCTGTTGCATTAATCTATTGCATTTCTAATCTTTAGTACTTTTATCGCGGTAATGATAACATTTCAGTATATTGTTCAGCCCTAATGGAAATGCATTTGCCAAATAAATTTTGACTTAGTGAACATTACATCCACATGACTAATCAAATTTCTCCATGTATCTTACTTTATTTACTGTTGATTAGCTGGTCACCAAAACTATAGCCAGCTGCTCGAACGACTTGATGTAAATTCCCCTAATTAGCATTTGTTTAGTTTTTTTCTTTTTGTGAACTGCAAAAAGATTTGTTTAACATTATGATGGAAACCCAGCTAGGGTGACGTTATAATGTTACAACTGTCTGTATGGTTATTTACTTGTCATTTAGCAGACACTTCTTTCCAAAGTGACTTACACTAGTCACTTTATCACTTGTCAATTGTCAAACATTGTACTGAAACACACTTTCCCTCGCTCTGTTTGATTTCAGGTGTTCCTGCCGTCTTTGTTGCAGCATGGGCTGTTGTCAGGGCAACACTGGCGGATGCAAGGTGATTTCATGTGTTTATTCTCACAGACTTGACCTCATGTTCATGAAATGATGATAGATGTCATGTAAAGACTTTGTCTAAACAATTGCAGAGTTAGAAAAAAACAAAAACAAATGTAAATGTGGATGAAAAACTTATTACAGGCTTGACAGTAAAACTAAAAATATACCTTCATTATTTTCTGTTTTCTTTATCATTTAGACTTTGGGTATACAGTGGTGGCAGTATGAAGGCAGGCTTGCCCCAAAGAGTTTTCATGCAATGGAACCTACAGTTGAAGACAAAATGTTTAGCCTTCCTGTGAAATAATTATAAATCAGAGTTATTCTAATGTTTCCCAAGTGATGGTTAACATAGCAAGGACATTTTCACAGTATTCCCTGTTAATTTCTATTTTTTTCTTTCTTTATTTCTTTATTTTTCATATTTATTTAAGTTTGGCTGCAATTAAAAACAACCAAGCTCATTAAAAATTTGCTCAGGACTACGTTTTTGAGAACCGACAATTAATTTATGTACTGGACTACTTTTTTTGCAGTTTTTTTTTTAACAATCCACATGAGGGTGCAGTGTATATTTTAAACCAGTGTTTCTCAACCACGTTCCTGTAGGACCTCCAGGTCTGCACATTTTTCATGTCTCCTTAACCAAAAACACTGAGACTGAAAGGCCTGTAATGTGTGTGACAGACTAAGGAGATATCAGAAACATGCAGTGTCGGTGATCCTCCAGGATCGTGGTTAAGAAACACTGCTTTAGACAGTCTCAAAAACCCTATGGGGCACGTTTTAGAATATTTTATAATATACAAATGTTAATAATATGATTAATATTATATACCAATATATTATATTAAGCCCTTTTTTATGTGCCACAGAATGAATAACTGTTATCCAATGATTATCTAACTAACCCAACATGCCTAGTTAACCTAATTAGCCTAGTTAATCCTTTAAACTACACTTTAAGCAGCATACTAGTATGTTGTGAAACATCTAGTAAAATATTCTGTACTGGCAACGTGGCAAAGACAAAAGAAATTAGTGATTAGAAATTAGAAATTAGGTCAAAACTATTTTAGTTTTTAAAAATGTGATGAAAAAAAATCTGTTAAACAGCACTTAGAGCAAGACAAAAAAACAAAAAAGACAATTTCACAGGAGGGCTAAAGTTGTCTCCAACTGTACCCTATCATATAGTACAAAAAATTATACACATGCATTGCAAAATTCACAAAGCAATAAGTATTTTGATGGGCGTCATAGTTTTGCAGTGGGTAGCATGTTCGCCTCACAGCAAGAAGGTCGCTGATTCGAGCCTTGGCAGGGTCAGTTGTCGTTTCTGTATGGAGTTTGCATGTACTTCCCGTGTTCACATGGGTTTCCTTCAGGTGATCCAGTTTCCCCCACAAGTCCAAAGACATGCGGTATAGGGGAATTGCGTAAGCTAAATTCTCTATAGTGTATGAGTGTGTATGGGTCCCAGTGATGGGTTGCAGCTGAAAGGCCATCCGCTGCATAAAACATATGCTGGATAAGTTGGCGGTTCATTCTGCTGTGGTGACCCCAGGTTAATGAAGTATTTTGCTTCTGACTTTAACTATGCTTGAGTACATAGGGTTCTTTGTGTGAATCATTATTGAGACTAATCCACGTTCATACATCTAAGACCTTTTCAGAGTATTTGTTTTAAACAATTTGCATTTAATATTGTTATTGCAGAATTTCTAGTTTACAGGTTTCATTCTATAATACATAAAAGTGGATCAAACATCTGACAGGATCAAAACAATACTCTAACTGAATTATAATAAGATTTTAATATTTCATTGCTTTTTTTCTTATATTTGATTAGCAGCCATTCCCCTGTGCATTCCTTATAATGTTTCCTTCCAATGTAACAAATGGCAACAGTTAAAACATGGAACACATGCAAAGGCTTTAGATCCTCCAACTTCAAACGCACAAAATGCTAATAAAATCTACATCCAAATAACAGCAATATATTTGAAGAACTTGAAATTTCTTAGTCTGGGCATTACTTTTTAAACTACTGTTAATTATTGTTTACTTATTTTCAACCAGAAGTGCCACCATTTGAAATAAGCAGCCCTTATTGTGGCAAAGTAGATTAAAATGTTAAGGAAATGTTTTTAAACATAGGAAAGAAATACTTGAAGAGACATTTCACCCCAAAATCTTAATTCTGCAAGCCTGTAACCACTAACTTCCATTGTTATATTTTAACGACTATTGAAGTCAATGGTAAAGTTTTCTAATATATATATTTTTTTCAATTGTTGTGTTCTCAACCATGCTTGGTAGAAGTAAAGTATGAGTAAATTATGATTTTTTTTTTTTTTTGGTGCACTTTAAATCTGTTCATCTGGCAGGAAATAATATTTAGTCTATAGTCTAATATTTAGCTTATATTAATCTAAGCTAATAAAAACACATTCCAAATCCAGCCACATTGATGCAGTCACATATTGTTTTATTGTTTCAAGTTCAGCAAAACTGTAATGCATTGATGTGACAATCCTGAGCACATTTGCTAGTTAGCGAACTCATTGAGAACTCTGTGTTTTTCTTGGCTCTGTAAATGTTTGCTTTCTTATGTTGAAACATCACTGTTGTTTTATCAGCAGATCATCTAAATGAAGTTGTGTTTTTTGGTGTCAGATTGATGTAGGACCGTGCCCGAGGCACTATCTTTTGCTTGTTTTATTTTCAAACACTTGCTGAATTTCATTGTCTTTCTCCCCTTGAGAGCACAATCTGTATTCTTGCAGCTTACAGGCTGTTAGTGATGCTACAAAAGCAACAACCTGCCGCTTCTCTGGGGAGAACATGCTTTGTCAACATAAGGCTTTGTTTTAGATGTAGTGTTTCTTTTTTTAACTGCTGGTGCTATAAGGTGGCCTAGTTTAGTTCGTCACAGCTCATAGCTTTATCTTTTTTAAAAGTCACACTAAGCATTTAATGTTGTTTAATGATGAAATTATGAAACATCTGATGATATTATTTTTAATGGGTACATTTAAAACATTTAGTATACTTTTTAATTCAATTTTTTAATTTATTGTGATGTTACTGGTAAAAAGCAATCAAATGTTCGTTAACTTTATGAATAAATAAGAAATGTTTATTTTATGTGTATTTACATATTTTCAAAGTTAAAAATAGTCAAATTAAAATTAAGTAAAATAAGTAAAAGTAAAATTAGTTAATTAATAGATAAAATAGATAAAGACAAAAGAACTGCCTAATACGGATAAATACGTAATATTAATACATATATTTATTATAAGTACATAAACATAGATTAACAAATACACAAGTATTGTTTTCTTAAGAAATTTTAGATTTTTTTAAATGTCTAACCACACTAATATATATATATATATATATATATATATATATATATATATATATATATATATATATAAACAAATGGATATTTATATATATGTATATATTTACATATATTTATATATATGTTTTACCCAATGTTTAACCCACAACCTGGAGGACACAGACATGCACACAAACACTACAGCCAATTTAGCGTATCTGGCTTAAAATGATTAATTAACGTCTGGCAAACGTTCTGCTCTTCCAGTTTCCTGCAGTTGTTGGTATCTTTATAAAAAAATAATCATGTTAGATATGAGCAGAAAAAGTTTATTTGTCACATTATCTTTGTTAATACTTATCTGTTCATGAATGTATGATCGGCACACACAGGACAAGATTTGACAGATCTGACAAGGCAAACAGGATAGCTTAAAAACACTTCAAAGATAAACAGGTTAACAAGAAAACCTGAGCACCATAAACCAGCAGAAAAATTAGTAAGCCCATGGAAAAATGCTTTCAACCCTATACATCCAAGCATACAAACATACATACATACATATGTACATACATACATACATACTCACATACATACATACATATATACATACATACAAACAAACACTATCGGTCAGTTTTTTTATATTTTTTAATTAAATGATTCTGCTCGTGAAGGTGGCATTTATTTAATATAAAAAATGGTTTAATTATTAAATATTTATATCGTTTTTAAATAATTGTTTTCTTGTTTCAATTGAAATTATTACTGCAGTCATTATTGCTTTTATTACTATTACATTAATAATATAATAATAATAATAATAATTAATATTAGAGTGATTTCTGAAGAATCGTGGGACTCTGAAGACTGGAGTAATAAAGCTGAAAATCCATCATTACAGTCACTGGAATAAATTCTTAAATGAAATGATAAACTACTTTTGAACAGCTATTTTATAGTTCAATTACATTTCACAATTTTGTTGTACTGTATTTTTGATGAAATAAATGCAGCCTTGGTGAGCAGGATGAGCCTATTTTAAAACATTTAAAAATCCAACTGACCACAAACTTTTTATTGATACATGTGTTTATACATACATACATACATACATACATACATACATACATACATACATACATACAGACAGACAGACAGACATACATACATACATACATACATAATGATTTGTTCTTTTATTTAAATTTTTTATTATTATTTTGAAGTAAAAATTATTTGGAAGTTTTCGACACCACATGAAGCAACTTTTGTTTGCTTTAATGATAACCCATTCACAAAGTGAAGTTTTACAAACTAATTTCGAGAGGAGCATGTGATATGAATGACTGCAGCTGGCTACCCATCTACATTCATTAGTAAGCCAATCAGATTAATCCAAACTCACTATAAGTAGCCTAGCTAGAACTAATCCCTTATCTTCATTTTCCAAAAAAGCCCCCCATCCACCCCTCCTCCTCCTTTCCTCCTTTACCACAGGGGAGCTCTCGAGACCCACCTGATCTCGTACTCCCCTCACATGCTCTATGGACCTGGCGGGAGCCCTGGGCATAACTATCTCCGAGCTCAGGGTTTTCTCCCAGGACAACATGCCAAACCTGCTAACAGTTGTCAAACAATATCTTAGTGT